AGACCGTGACAGAGGAACCAAATACCCATCACAGACCGTGACAGAGGGGCTCCAAAGACCGTCACAGACCGTGACAGAGGGGCTGCAAAGACCATCACAGACCGTGATAGAGGGGCTCCAAAGACCATCACAGACCGTGACACAAAAATCTAGTACCCATCACAGACCGTGACAGAGAAACCTAGTACCCATCACAGACCGTGACAGAGGGGCTCCAAAGACCATCACAGATTGGGACAGAGAAAATCCATACCCATCAGAAACCTTGACAGAAACCTAGTACCCATCACAGACCGTGACAGAGAAACCCAGTACCCATCACAGACCGTAACAGAGAAACCCAGTACCCATCACAGACCGTAACAGAGAAACCCAGTACCCATCACAGACCGTGACAGAGAAATCGAGTACCCATCACAGACCGTGACAGAGAAATCCAGTACCCATCACAGACCGTGACAGAGGGGCTCCAAAGACCATCACAGATCGGCACAGAGAAAATCCATACCTATCACAGACCTTGACAGAAACCCAGTGCCCATCACAGACCGTGACAGAAACCCAGTATCCATCACAGACCGTGACAGAGAAATCCAATACTCGACACAGACCGTGATAGAGGGACTCCAAAGACCATCACGAACCGTGACAGAGAAAATTCAAATTCCTTCATTTACAATATAAAACGCTGCATCGTGTTTCACATTTTTAATCCCGCAAGGGATTGCGCTAACAGCTTTTTTTACTTATATTTAATTGAGCAATAAAATAACTTAAATGAGCAATAATTATGTTGAATAAGCAGTCGTTCATTTCAATAAAAAATAAGTTGTATATAAAAATGGCAATATTGATTCTTTTATTTACACAAATAGGTATTTTTTCAATTTTATGAAATAGAATACATAATTTATGCAAATAGCTCAATCACAAAGCGTAGCGCAATATGGGTGTGGGTGTGGATGTGGATGGGTTCAGTTGACATAGGTGTTGTATATCAGTATTTTTTTCACCCCCACCGACATCCACCCTGTAGTTTTTCTATTTTTTGTTGCTAAAATATGAAGTTACTATTGCTATTTAATAAGTTATTTATTGTTCATTTAAAATATGATAAAATTGCTTAAATAAACTTTTCTTATTGCTCAAAAATTATTGCTAAACTATATTTGAATTATTACTCATTCCAATATTTTTATTGCTCAAATCAATATAAGGCATTTTTTTTAATGTGCTTCCGCTTTTTTTTGCTAAAGTTATGCACAACCGATCTGTAGAATAAAAAAAAGCATTGATGTGTCATGTCTCAAAGGAAAATAATTACCTAAACAAAATAAATAGAATGTCATCAGACAAATCAATAAATATAAAAAGGACTAACATCCACTGATAGTCTATTCAAGCAACCAATCATTGAAAAGCTCGTGTGACACTCAACATAATAGATTTTTTTTTCTCATAACTATATAATACTGATCACCGGCGTAGCCAAGGGATGGGCCAATGGACAATTGCCCATTTCGTTTGAAGCTTTGCCCATCGAAATTTTACTTTTTCAGAATTGTTTATTTATTTTTGAATCAGATAGTAACTATTTTTTTCTTTCGTCTGAATCACACATGCACTTTTTGCTTGTACTTTCTGTAAATAATTAAGAAAAGAAGAAGGAAAGAATCGCTTCTAATTCCCTAGACTGAAAGGATAGGGTCTAGAAACCGAAATTCACATGTGTCTATCTGTCTGTCTGAAATATAGTTACCATATGGTAACTATGGTCGTCAAAATAATATATATATCGAATGGCACCAAAAGATAATAACATTTTTTCTATTATCGAATATTGAAAAAATTAAAAAGAACGAATCTGCAAGTTCTTACTATTCAGTTCTTTTATTACTATACAAGCTATAATAATAACAATTAATTGTAGTGAATGTTTCCTATAATTTAATTGTGATATTACGCAATAATAAACAATGAAAAATTTAGTGACAATTTGGGTGTGGGTGTGAATGAAGAGAAGATCTACACCCACATCCACACCCTCACACCCACACCCACATCTCTCATTGCTCAACATTGTAATATTAATAATCATAAGATGGATTTTTATAATACTAAAACATTAGCATTAGAATCTAAGTGGAAACGCAGGATTATAAAAGAAAGTCTACTAACACAATATACATATAGTAAAGCAATAAATGAACTGAAATATCAACTCAAAGTATTTACATAGCACCTTCAGATGCAGTTTTATGGGACCGAAACGCCTGTTCTACGAACAGAATGAGTGCTCATTCAATATTAGTCTAATCATCATACAAATAATCACTAATTTCTATCAATTATATATATTTTTTTCCTTTTTTTATCTCTTTTTCCTTCTCACATATATAAGTCTTTCTTTGTTGTTCTTATTGTAATAACGTGTTTATTCTGATGATGACAATTGTATATTGTTGAAATATAAATAAATAAATACGTATATGATTAGTAAATCATAATGCTTGTTGCAGTCTTATACTTCATCTTGTCCTTAATCAAATATAGCTTTGATTACCCTTCGGAAAATCGATGGTTCAGGTGATTTTGCTATTGCTTCAGCGGACGAAGTCCGACTTATTCTCCCTTGTGCTCCGACATCAGTCGCGACTCGAGACCATTCACGACTGGGCATCGGGGCACTGGCCTGATGAGCGGGAGGAGAAAGAGGAGCGATATAAAGAACGGATGATCGATACATTTTCATCAAGTTCGATGTATCAATTCGAAAATCTTTGTCAAATGATGGATGAAGCTCTGATACAGGTTCATGAGTAATTCTTAAATGACGAATGGGAACATTTTGAGACCC